TGTCTCTATAAAGGCAACTGCTGTACGCGTGGTCCACGTAGTCGTCGATACTTACAATGTGTTAGGAAGGATCAAGGAGTCTTCTGACTCTATGTCGTTCACGAGCACGCGACGATCTAACTGATCCGGGTCTCTTGTCCTTGAGACAACGGCCTAACTGGCGAAGGGCTCTTCCTCGAACGACCTCTCTCACAGGTATGGTGGGGTCTCACAGGGACACACGATAGGGTGCTTCGATAATCAAGAACAACAACGACTAGGTCAGAGGCAACGCCTACTAGAGTTATACCGAAGTATACTACTAGTAGTAAGAAGTCTTACTGACCCCCAGAGTAAGTATCTTAGTAACGGAATAACAAGGTGAAATTGAGCGCGAGTAAGGAAAGACTAGATACATGGCTGGAATTTTCCCTCCTTTTATATCTCCTTCTGAGTGTACCATTTGTATACCCTACAGTGGTATACCATCGAGGTCCTCCAAGGCCTTTTGGTATACCTTTCTTGGTATATCTGGATGGTATACTTATACCATGTCACGTGATCTCCGATGGTATGTCTTTGTGTAGTTTCTGCCTCGCGGGGTAATTGTTTCATCCTGCATCGCTGTGTTGGACAGCGTTGTCTCCGGTTGGTTCATAACACCTGCACCTGATTTAGCCACTATTAAGGACTTCATTCATTATTATATATTCTCTACCCAAGGAATGCTCTCTCTCTGGCTAACTGTGACAGAACCCAATCTCATTCCTATCTGAGTAGTCTGAGGTGGCTAAAATACAAGAGACCAAGCTGGGGAAGGAAGGAAAGGAGGGGTTGGAGGTCTGTAGGAGGGAAATATTGAAAATACTGCCAGGCAGAACTGTTCCCGCCTTCCTCACCGCCCACATGATAACATCCCGTGCGCGCTCACCCGAGACACCTGGCTGCGGATCGTCACACTATGTCTTCTATATTGAACTTTGCTGAACAATTTTTTACTAGGTTTACTTATGTTACTAAGACCATTTTTGATAAGAAGGTCACAGAAGATGTTTACTATATAGGTAGTTACAGACAAGGTGTTTCACACTATATTCTAATGACAAAAAGTGGATTAGGAAGACCCTTATTAAGGAGGATATTATTAAGAACAAGAAACGGGCTAAGCATATGTTCACACACTGTGACTTAACTAATATTATTATTTCCATGTAGACCAATGATGACCCAGTCTTTATTCATGAGCAATACAGGTGTTACGCGCTGGGTCCAACCGTAGTCGTCGATACTTAACGATGGTGGTTAGGAAGGATCAAGGAGTCTTCCTAACTCTGTGTCGTTCACGAGCACGCGACGGTCTAACTGACCCGGGTNTCCTTTCTGAGACAACGGCCTTACCTGG